TTCCAACTGGAGCCGGCTGTGTGACCCTGGGCAAGTCCCATCACCTCTCTGAGCCTCGGCACTCTTCCCTGTGACGTGCAGCAATGCAGTGGGGATGACACTGTTCCTGGGCTCAGAGAGTGCCCTGCAGACCCCTGCCCGTGACACCGGGTGGCCAGAGCGGCTCTGCTGGGGCAGCCACCCCCAGCCCCGGAGAGGACCAGGCGGCTCCTCCAGGAGCACAGACGGCGGCTCCTCCAGTGGGAGAGAGGCCAGGCAGCTCCCAGGAGAGCATGCAGTCGGCGGGGCAGGGCAAGCCGCGTGGCCAGACAGGGCGGGCAGGACCAGTCCTCCCCACGTGGAGAGGCCATTCCGGTCCAGGAGAAGGCTCACGCCCAACTGGGGTGGGGATGGGGCTGGGGGGGGGGTGATTTCCAAGAAGGGCTTGGGCCGAGGTCACTCCCAGCCAAGGGCTGTCGTCTTATGAGGAAGAGAGAAGACCAGCCCCCGCTCTCCTGGCCCAGAGGCCCCGACCACACCCCTTCCATCCCTCCCACCCCAGGGACCCTCCCACCGGTGCCCTCACTTCCTGTCCTGCCAGGTCTCCGCATCCTGGCCTCAGCACCTTTGTTGCCTGTGTTTCCAGGTGTCGGCGGGCCTGGTGCAGCGTCTCTCCAAGAGTTCGGGGCTGGCAGGACTCGTTCCCTTTTGGCTGTAGGACTGAGGTCCCATTTTCTTGCAGGCTGTCAGCTGGCGTCCCCCAGCTCCTACAAGTCGCCCCCAGATTCTTGCCTTGAGACCCCTCCATGGGCCCCTCACACTTCCAAGTTCTCTACCCTTTGGGCCTCTGACTTCAGGGAGGGCCCAGCCCTGTGCTGTGGCCTTGGGCACATCACCCCCCCTCCCAGTGCCTGGGCAACTGCACCTGCGAGATGGGGGACGTAATAGCACCTGCTTCCCAGGGCCCCCAGAGCAGGGCGCGTGCTGGCCACTGCTGTGCCCGCCTCCCCGCTCCTGCAGGCCAGGCCCAGGGCCAGGCGGGGCGAGGAGGGCGGCCCCCTGTCAGCGTGGGGTGTCAAGGGGGGGCTGCAGACAGAGCGTGTCCCACGTCACCACCCCGCCCCACCCCAGCCCGGAGCAGGGCCCACCCTCTGAGTCACCCACTCATGTCAGAGGACTCGTCTTATCGCACATCGGGGTGTGGCCAGGGATGGCCTTCCAGGTCCCCAAAGTGTGGTAAGCTCTGAACTCATCCGATGAGAAGCCTGGGCCCAGACAAGGGGCCAGTCAAAATGCCGAGCCTGCCCCGAGTTTGGAGAGTGTGGCCTGAGAAGCAGGTGCCGCCCCACATGCGTGTGGCACCCGTCCAGCTCCAGGCAGAGCTGGGGGTGGCCCTGGGGGGGGGGTGGGGGAGGTGAAGGCCCTGGTTCCCCACCAGGTCCTGGCTGAAAGGGCTCAGTTCCGTTCCCAGCACCATAAGTAGCGCAGGCGCCACCCCCGGGTTAATGGGACATGGCCGCTCCCCATCTGAAGGGGTGTCAGGCGTGGCCCCGCCGCTGTGGGACCCTGAGCCTTGCGGACAGCAGCCCCTGGGCCCAAGAACTCAGGGGGTTCCCCTGAGGGCACTGCCCAGAAGCTCAAATAGACAGAGTCTGCAGGGGACGCCCCTGCCTCCGGAAACCGCTGGACACCACTACGACTCCGGCATGTGGGAAATGCCCGGGCCCACAGGGTCCTCCAGCTCTAGGCCAGGGGGCAATGACTCAGACCCCTGGGACACGCTGGGTCGGAGAGCCCCTCACCAGAGCACGGGGGTCCTCACAGACAGGCCTCCAACGTCCTTCCTCCCCCCAGCGTTCACTGCTCCTCCAGAGTCCCCGGCCCTGCTGCGAGGTGTGGGCGGGCCCCGGCCCACCCCGTGGGGGAGGTTCGCGGGGCTCTCCACCTGTGGTGACGTGTGTTGGTAGAGGGACATGGGGAACTGGCATGGGGAAGGCATTCTCGTGAGAGTGAGGGAGGCCGCTTCTCACCAACCTTAACAGCAGGCTCCTGCTCCTAAGTTAGCTTCTAAGTCATTCCACCAAGCTTGGGCACTACTGTAGAAGTGGGTGCTCCCCACCCACCTCCCCCAGGATTGGCAGAGTCTCCAGCTGACTCACGGAGCTTCTGGCAGGATCCCCAGTCTGCCTTGCCCGCAGTCCGCACGGAGGAGTCTCCCACAGGACTCCAGGTAGAAGGTGCTGTCCGGACGTCCCACGGTTCTCTCCCTGAGGAGCGCTCCTCCCCTCCCGGTAATTCGCATCAGGCTGCTCTGAAGCATCCAGCTGTGTTCATCACACAGGCGTCCTGTTTCCCTTTTTGCCCTGGCTGCCAGGAGCCTCGGAGCACCATCTATGGGCACACACTCAAAGGCAGCATCTCGTGATAAGGATGTGCACCTTAACCTCACCCCTGGCTTCTCATTACGTTCCTACCACTCCACTCGGCCCCACTCTGGTTCTCGCCTCTCCTTATCTTGTTCTCGTTTGTGAGAGCTTTAACTATTTGGGGGTGACGAGAGGAGTAAACACAAACAAGCAAATGATAAGTGTGTGTGAGTGGAACCGGCCTCCCTGCGCTGGTCGGAGAAGGGACTGTGATAACACTCGAGAGAGGGCCAGGCGCGGTGCCCGGACGCACTAGCAGCCCCCACGTCCCTGCAGGGCCTGACCGGAGGAGCAGCCCCCGACCTGCAGAAAGCATCACCTGGGCGCACTCCAAGGACCCCTCCCCCACGGGAGGCGCAGAGCCCAGGTAACGAAGCAGAAGCCCCTGCTGGTTGGACTGGCAGAGCCAGAAGCAGGAAAGCGAGGGAGCAGCAGGGGGCGCTGCTTCCCTCGGATCCCTCACCGCCCCGGTTCTGGAACCCGATTCCCTTTTTTGAAGCCACACAGAATAGTCTGGGCCTGGGCCAGCCCATGCTCACCGCACCTCTTCGAGCTGGCAGCCCAGGCTGGGAAGAACAAAGGGGACTCCGGGGGACAGCTCCAGGCTCCGAGTGGAGAAGGGAAGCTCCTGGGTGTCCTTTCCCTCAGCCCCAGCTTCCCCTCTGTCCAAGGAAAAAACATCCCCTTTGCAGGGTGGTGGTGAAGATCAGGCCAGAGGCAGGACTTGACGGGCAGGAAGACCCAGGCCTGAGTCCCAGCCCGCCACATGTGGTGGCCTTCACCGACCAGAGCCCCCCTCCCGGGGTCGCAGCCCCCACCCCCAGAGGCCAGGATCTGTGAGTGAAACGAGGCATGCGGAGCCCCCCGAACCCCACAGGGCCCGCACAGCGGCAGGTGTTGTCCGTGCTGAACAGGACAGGGCCTGCGGGCTCCGGTCAGCGGCGACAGCCAGCCCTGCCTCCTCCCTAGACTCGGTTTCCCCATCTAAGCAAGAAAGGTTTAGAAGTGTGAACTCTGGACCCTGTCATTTAGGGTTCTTCCAAGGAAAGGCCTCCACCCCCACTCCCCACCCCTGCCAACGTCTCCAAAGCAAAATGCACTTGCAGGTTTCTGACCCAGAAACACTTGGCCCATTGCCCTTCGTCCGGGGGAGGCCCCGGCCCTCTTTGCACCCCACCTACCTGTGGCCGCCTGCCTGCGGCCCATCGCAGCCACGCCACTCCGTGGGCGCTCACACCTGGGCCTCCAACACACCTGTCTGACCCCTCCGCAGGCACTGCCTGTCCTTCGAGGGCCCCACGGCCCTCACACTAGGACCCCCTCACTGCCCCAGACCCCACCCCCTCCACTCTCCCCCGCCTCTGAGCCCAGGGTTCCTAACCTGTGTGCCCATGAACTTGTGTGAAAACAAACATCTCGATTCTCACCAGCATCTCCCCCCGAAGCTTCCTGCAGTGGGGAGGCAGCTCTGAGCCACAGCCCGCCTGAGACCCTGTCCCCCAGGAAGAGCACAGGTGTCCCTCGCCACACTGTGTCACCGGGGCAGCTCCGACGTCCCTCTGTTCCCTGCTACTTGGAAGTCTCACTGCTAACCTGCCACCAGCTGGGATGGCTGATAACGTGTTCAGAGAAGCCCGGGGCACAGTGTGGGTTCATTCCTCATTTCACTAAGTGCATTCCAGTCTCATTGTTTCCCTTGCAAGGCTGTGAGTTTGCTGAGCGCATTTAAAAAACACCATTCTGAGCCGGGCTCCCCAGCTTTCACCAGGGGGCCCAGGGGCTCCCCGCGGGTACCCCACCGACTGCAGCCGGGGGAGTCTCCTCCCGACCGCTCTGTGGTGCCGCCTCTGGAGCCTTGGACTGAGTGATGACCAGCTCCTGGTAGTGGCCTCAGGTCCTCGTCACCAGGCTCTGCGCCCCTCAGGGCAAGGTGCTGAGTTTAAAGTGACCCTTCAGAGGCTGTGGACGGAATAAGGAGAATGGAATAGCATCCATTTTCTGTTAGCCTTGTGCCCAGCAGAAAAAGTGCACCCCACCGTCTACTCTGTGGGGTCCCCCCACCCCCGTGTGAGATGGCAAAGAGGGGACAGAGGCACAGAGCTGGGAGCCTGGGAGAGGGCGCCCTCCCGGCTCTAAGGACCCGGGAGTCCTGGCAGGGGCAGGCGCTCCCTGAGGCTTTGTCCCCGAGGCAGCTGGGGTCAGAGGGACCTCCATCACCGCTGATTTGGGTCGCACAGGCCCTGTGTGAGGAGGCCTGGGGGGAGTTGGGGGGAAGGGGGAGGGGTAGGCTGGGGAGGAGGAGCAGCTCAGGCCCCTGGAACCCTAGACACCGACATGCCCGGCGCAGGGACTCCAGTGGAGCCTGAGACCTGCACCCTGGTGGCTCCCCTCCCCGCTGCTTCCACCCCTCCAGGTCACCAGCATGTCCATTATGAGTTTCCCAGACCAGGAAGGCCCAGTTCTGCTGCCGCTGCCTCTGCCTCTGCCGCCGGGTGGGTCCAGGCCTGGAAGGCCGGGCGGGGGCTGGTTTGGGCTGGGGCGGGGCTGGCGGAGGGGGCGGGCCGGCTAGAGTTTTGCCTTTAAATGCGGTGAGGCCCGCTGCACACAGACTGTTGGCCTGGAGGGAGCCTCTTCTGTCCTGGAGACCCGGTCCCCGTCGGTCATGTCCCTGCAGTGCCAGCACCCGCCCTCCTGAGCCTGCTGGCGCAAGCGGTCCGCGCCGGTCCCCAGCCTCAACGCAGGCGCCGGACCTTTGGCCCGGACGCGGCCTCGGTGTCCTCGCCGGCCTCGGGCCGGGTCTCCGAGTCCCCGTCCGCTGCCCGCCCATCCGCTATGCTGGCGCGGGTGCTGCTGCTGGCCGCGCTGGCCGCCCTGGCGCTGGCCCGGGAGCCCCAGGCGGCCCCGTGCCCCGCGCGCTGCGATGTGTCGCGGTGCCCAAGCCCCCGCTGCCCCGGCGGCTACGTGCCCGATCTCTGCAACTGCTGCCTGGTGTGCGCCGCCAGCGAGAGCGAGCCCTGCGGCGGGCCCCTGGACTCACCGTGCGGGGACAGCCTGGAGTGCGTGCGCGGCGTGTGTCGCTGCCGCTGGGCGCACGCGGTGTGCGGCACCGACGGGCACACCTATGCCAACGTGTGCGCACTACAGGCGGCCAGCCGGCGGTCGCTGCAGGTCTCTGGGTCGCCGGTGCGCCAGCTGCAGAAGGGGGCCTGCCCATTGGGTAAGTGCTCCGGCCGGGGCGGATCGCAGGCAGGGGCGGGGGAGGGGACCTGAAGCCCTCTCCTGGGGAAACTGAAGCTCAGAGCGAGGGTAGAGCCTCAGGGTCCGCCATGCCTGGGCACAACTGGAGCGCCCATTAGAAATCATCTAGCCGCCCTCTGGTTTTCCAGATGGGGAAACTGAGGCCCAGAGGGGTTACCTGGCTGTCTCCGAGGTTGGCCAAGGTGCCGGGCAAAGAACAATCTTTCCCGGCCCTGACTCCCGGCTGGGCGCCCTCTGGAGCAATACTCGGCGTTTTCTTTCCTCTTAGCTGCACTTAAAGGCTCGTCTCCCTTGGGCTGTCTGGGAACAGTGAGCGGAGCCGGCATGTGGGCTCCTCACCGAGTGGGGCTCCGTGGGCAGCCCTGCAGACCCCAAGTGGTCGCCACCCCCCAACTTAGAGTTGGCCCTGGCTGGCTTCTTGCCACACAGGTTGACCCTGTGCATGGAAGAAAATGCTAGAAAATCCCGCTGTCCCCTTATTTGTTTCGGCTGTCCCTTAGGAAGGCAGGCTCCCACACGAGGTCAAAAGGTATTCCCGGTGCCCTGTGTTGGGCCCCGAGGTCATGGGTGAGGCTGGTGTGGGCCCTCAGCCTGCAGCCTCAGGGGGACGGGGCGGCCTTCCAGGAAACTGGCAGGGAAGGAGGGGTCACCGGACCAGCTGGGGAGGCCGGCTGTTCGAGGTGGGCGAGTGGGAGGGGCAGACAGCCCCGAGCACCTGGTGTGTGGGGGACGAGCATGTGCCGGAGCGTGTTGTATGTGTGCATGCGCATGCGTGTGACACCCGAGGCGAGTTGGCAGGGACTGGGTGACCAGTAGCCACAGCCCGATGCCGACAGCTCGGGCTTCGTTCTGGAGGCCAGGCTTCCCACGACGCCTGGCGCTCGGAAAACAACCTGGAAAGGTTGGGAAGGGGAGCTCTGCCCCTGCAGGGCGGGTCGCACTGGACTCCCTCGGAGGTTCTGAGAAAGCCTGCGGGGAGAAAACACGCGTGTGCACACCGACAACAGGACCCAGGGCTCCCCAGGGGGATTTCAACTGAGAGCACTGCTCTCCCGGAAGAACATGCCTGACCTGCTCCCCGCACTCTCCCGGGACCAGGAGTGAGGTGGGGCCGGCTCTGACTGCTCCGAGGAGCCACCACCGGCCCTCGGGAGGAGAGCATGGTTCCCCTGGCTGTCGGGGAGGTGGGTGCTGGGCCTTGAATGGGTGCTGCAGGCCCATCTGGGGTGGCCCATCTGCTCCAGGGCTCGGTACTGGCGGGCCCAACTCGGGCCATGCCGACGGGTCTGGGAGGTGGAGGGCTCAGGGTGGGCGCCTGCCCACTGCAGCCTGGTTGTGTGGGCGGAAACCCCCCAACCCTAACCCCACCATGCGGTAGACCTACTAAACTGAGACTCCGGGTCTTGGGGGCAGGCGGGAGGGTGGAGGCCTGCTCCTTGACCGACTGTGTCTGCCCTGTGACGTCTGCCCCTGTGGCCGGGCTGGCCCTGGGCTGGTGACAAGGCCCCTCCATGAGGCAGACACTGTGCCCTGGAGAATCTCCAAGGATGGGAAGGGGAAGTGGCCTGCTGACCACAGACAGCCCGCAGACGGCTCAGCAGGCAGCAGGGGGTGTCGGGCCTGGGACATGGGCAGGCGGGGGCATCATGGGCTGGGCCGCCCCGGTACCTCTTACTCGTAAGGGCCTTAGACAAGTCAGGGGGCCTCCGTCTGCCCACCTGGAACGTGGGAGTGAGAGTAGTGAGTACCGGGAGTTGCTGCGTCAATGGGCTGCCTGTGACGTCATGCACTAGTGTCACTGTCACGGCTCCTGCCTCCCCCAGTCTGTCCCGGTTGCAGGGTCAGGACACCTCGGTGCTGCGCTACCAGAGTGGCTCTCGCCAGGCAAAGGGAGCGAGGACGGAGGAGAGAGGGGTGCGGCGAGGCCTGGGGGCAGGCGGAGAGCCGCAGTCCTGGTTCTGGCGGTCCCAGAGGGCCCCTGGGCCCCAACGCTCCACTCGACACTTAGATTTCCACAAAGTTCCGCCCTCGAGGAGTCCTTGCTGGGCCCGTCTCTTGCCAACGCAGGCTCATTTGCGAATCTGGTCCTTCCTACACCTTAGATGTGCCCATGGAGGAGGTAGAGGGCAAGTGACTCGTCTGAGGTCAGTCGGCCAGGAAGTGACTGTGCCAGGCTGGCCCTGGGGTCTGTCTGGCTTTGAAAGCCACACTCTCTGGGTCCCAGGCTTTCTCCTGCCACTGGGAGGCAGGCAGCAGGGTCCCCGACACCTGGGGTCAGGCCAGGCCTGGGTCTCCAGCTCCATTCCCTTCAGCTTCCACAGAGGGTCCGCCCCCCCCTCTGGAGGGACTGGCCAGAGGCAGTGGGCAAGTCTCTTCCCACCCCCAGCTGACCCTCACCAGGGCTGCCCTGGCGTGTACCCGTGCCCAACTCGTCTAAGGGCCTTTAAGCAACTTTAAGCAGGAGCTAAAGATAGGGTCCGGGGCTGCAGTCCTGGGTGTCAGCTGGCCGTGGTCCTCCACCAAAAGGGCCACCCTGTGAAGCTTAGGTCCGAAGCCTTGTCACCTTTGACCCTCCACTCCTCCCTGTTACTGAGCTTGCTCCCACCTGAGGCTCTAGCTCCGCCTTGGCACCTGCCCCCAGCTGGGCATCGCTCCTGTTGCCCTGGTGATGATGGCCTCCACTTTCATCCCCCCCTGTCCCCTCCTCCCTCCGAGCACTTCTGGGCAGAGCCACCAGGACAGCCTTGCAAAATCTGCCCTGCCTGTCACTGGCGGGACCCCTCGCCAGCTCCCCAACACCTACCCTGACCCCGGAGTCCCATGCCATCTGGCCCCTCCCACCCTGAACACTGCCTCATCCGTGTGCTCCGGGCTCCCTCCCACCTCAGGACATTTGCATAGGCTGCACCCACTGCCCAGAGTCCCATTCCCTCCCCTTCCCGTGGCCAAGTCCTCATCCTGCCTTGGCCAGGATGTCCCTCCACCCTGGAGCCACCTTCCCTGACCACCACGCCTGGCCGCCCCCTTCGTTAGCCTCGTGAGCACACCCTGGGCTCCACTTACACCCTCGCACCCTCCACCTTGACGTGGAGGCTTCTCTGTCTCACCAGGCTCTGGGCTTCACAGGGTGGGCGACTGGTCGTTTGGTCCCTGCCGGGCCCGGCCCAGCACCTGATGCCCAGTAGGTACTGTGAGTCCTCATTCTGTGGGAATCTCCTACAGCCCTCCCAACCATCCTTGCATACATCCAACGGCGGGGGGCTCACCACCTATCCGGGAGGCAGTGCCATGCCCTGGTGTGGAGGAATGCCACCATGGGGCGATAGTAGAAGTCAAGGTGAAGGCCTACACAGAGAAGAGGCCCCCTTTCTGCCCCAGAACCAAGGGCCTTAGAGGCCACTCTGCCTCACCTGCCTGCAGACAGGCCTAGGAGTGTGCCCTGAATTCAGAACCTGGAGCCCTGGGGTGGTTTACGACTTGGTGTTTAATACTCAGCTTTTATTATGCAAGCCCCAGTAGGCTCTTACTGCAGCTCTCAGTTTTATTTATTTAAGAGCTTTGGTTGGCTTTTGATTTTTAATCCTCTTAGCAAGTCAGGCTAGAGGATTAGCCTCCCCCGCCGTCCCCCCACCGGCTCCCTCCTCTCCCTCGGGATGGCAGAGCTGAGCTGCAGCACCTGGCCCTGGCTGGGCCGCCGCACCAGGGTCGCTGGGGGACAGGAGGCCAGCCGGGGAGGACCGGAGAGGAGCGGCCAGCCCAGGGCACTGGCCTGGCACACAGCCCTCGGCCGTCCACCAGCTCATGTCTGTGGGGTCCCTGCAGACTGGACAGGGGAGCTGGCCTCTGCGTCTGTCCTGACCGAGGGCCTGAGTGCCACCTCTCCCCATGACCTGCGTTGAGGAAGAGCAGCCACCCGGTACACCAGGGTCAAGGGCGAACGAAACACAGGCCTGGTCTCTCACTCACATTACACACACGTGTGCAGGTGCTCTCACGCGGCCCTCTGCCAGAACAAACTCAGGGCGGCGTGGCGAGCTGCCCCGGGGACTCCAGTCCCAGTCCCTGATTGTCTTGTAGCTCTCTGCCCACCCGGGGGCCTCAGGCCCCTGAGGAAGTGGCCTCTGCCTGCTTTCCGAGAGGGTTTCGAACAATCAAGTAAGAGAATAAAGTCAAAGACCGCTTGTCCTCAGGGCAGCGGAGATATGGCCAGGATGTGTGTGTGGCCCTAAACACCAACGCCAGCTGCAGCGTGGGACACAGGTGGCCCCGGAGCAGTGTGGCGCACCCCTGCCGGTGGGCGGTGTGCCAGGGCCATGGGCAGGGCCAGCGCTGGGACCCAGCTCTGCTCCCGGCGTCCAGCTGCTCGGGGACCCGTCCTAGCCCCACCACTCCCCATAGCCAGCCCCTGCAGGTCTCCTAGGCTCTGCGAGCCTCAGTTTCCTCCTCTGTGACATGGGGATGGCAGCGGTCCCCCTCACTGGCTCACGGGACGGCCCGTGACGGGGCAAATGAGGAGCGCTTTGCACGGCGTGGAGGCCGACAGACATCCATGCCTACACAACCAGAAATGGACAGGCCAGACTTCTGACGTAGATGGAGCTCGTGAGTGTGAGGGCAGGGGTCAGGGAGCCCGAGGGCGGGCCCGTCAGGACAGGGGCGCATCCTACAGACAGGGTCCAGGTGGACCCCACCTTGGCTTCGAGGTGTGGTGGACCCTGCGGGCGGCCTGGAGCCCCGCCTCATCTGCGAGGGTGCAGGTGGGCAGGTGGACTGTGATAAAGCATAACCACCTCCTCTTCCTCAGGGCTGGGTGCAGCACCCAGGGAACCCACAGCTGGAGCCGCCAGGCTGGCCCCGAGCCAGTCTCAGGTCCCTGTGTGGGAGTAGCCAGTCACATCGTCTGAGGACTGGAGAAGCCTGGGGCAGGGGACAAGCGATCTGGCTGTGGGCCGAGGGTGG